TGACAGCCATTCGTCTTGTGAAGCTGACAGCCATTCGTCTTGTGAAGCTGACAGCCATTCGTCTTGTGAGGCAGACAGCCCTTCGTCTTGTCAGGCTGACAGCCCTTCGTCTTGTGAGGCTGACAGCCCTTCGTCTTATGAGGCTGACAGCCCTTCGTCTTATGAGGCTGACAGCCCTTCGTCTTGTGAGGCTGACAGCCTTTCATCTTGTGAGGCTAACAGTCCTTCGTCTTGTGGTGTTTGGTGCGTTTTTTCACCTGGTAAACAAAACCAGCCCCAATCAGCTCTCCAGCCCCCAGGGGCCTGAGCGTAAGACGATGTGAGCACTTACGTTTGTAATCCCCTCTCAACAAGCCTCTGTGTTCGTAACTGACTGACAGAAGCTGGGGAACAGAGGCCTTCTGTGCAGGACGGGATCTGGCTTGGGCAGCCATCTCAGGTAGGAGAGAGTAGCACGCTTTCCACCCCGCGACCAAAAACCGGAATCCATAAAAGACACGGATGACGGCTGCCCACCTGAATGTTCAGTGTTACCTGATATCTCAGTGGCACCTGAATGGGGCCAGACCTTGCTGTGTCTCCCTTCTCGGCCCATGGGAACACATGGTCTCCAACAAGCTGTTTTTAAGACCCTGTTTACACAGCCCTTAAATGTGACCAAACTCACACCAAAAAGGGAGTCATTCAGCAAATCCAAGGAATTTTAGCTGTTCCAGACCTAAAAATGTAATAACTGACATAAAAAGAGGAAATCCTCTTTGTGTTTCAGCTGGCTGTTTATATGAAGTAAAATCAGGTGGCAGTCATGTGACTCAGGCAAGTCCTGTCAGCTGGCCCCCTGCCAGGGCCTAAGCCTCCCTTCCGGAACTTTCTGGCCCTGCTAGAATCAAGGCCACGGGCCGTTTCCTCGGGTGGCGCCTATTGAAAAAGCCACTGACTTCCTGCTCTTTCCGTTATTCTTCCTGTGAGGTGACCCAGTTGTAGGACAGGTACAATGTCCAAGGTACCGATACCCGGGGGAGGGTAGAGATGTCAAAACCCAATTGGGTGTGGAAAAGGCCACCTTAGTGCCGCCCGCTCGACTCGAGGGGAACCTGCTTGTGTGTTTCCCATGTTAAATTGCTACATGTTAAACTGTGTGTGTATCTGCCTGCCTGTGTGTGGGTGTGTGTATGTTTGTAATTATTACTTGTGGGGACCACATTTCATCACAATGTGATAAAAACCCCATCATTTTTACCTTGTGGGGACATTTTTTCTGTCTGGCAGACAGGCAGACAGACAGGCAGGCAGACAGACAGACAGGCTGGCTGGCAGACGGGTAGACAGACAGGCTGGCAGACAGACAGGCAGGCAGGCAGACAGACAGACAGGCTGGCTGGCAGACGGGTAGACAGACAGGCTGGCAGACAGACAGGCAGGCAGGCAGACAGACAGACAGGCTGGCAGACAGGCAGACAGACAGACAGGCAGGCAGACAGACAGGCAGGCAGACAGACAGACAGGCTGGCTGGCAGACGGGTAGACAGACAGGCTGGCAGACAGACAGGCAGGCAGGCAGACAGACAGACAGGCTGGCAAACAGGCAGGCAGACGTAGAGACAGGCTGGCTGGCAGACAGACAGGTAGACAGACAGACAGACAGGCAGACAGGCTGGCAGACAGACAGGCTGGCAGGCAGACAGACAGGCTGGCAGACAGGCAGGCAGACAGACAGACACTTTCAGTATCTGATGATACAGGTTCTGTCCTGTCACTTGGGCATACAATCACATAAGATCTCCTGCTGCATCACGCTGAACACCATCAAAACACAGCAAACCCACAGCCTGCTTAAACACACATAAGACCATGAGTCATTACTCAGATGATGCACGGGGCGAAATATTAGTTATGCCCTAATAATGATTAAGATGCAGCGGGTGGGAATATTATGTTTATCGCAGAGTTTCTGCCATTTGCTTTGCATAAGCCGACATGATGGTCTGCCGTAGTGGTCTGACTTCCGCTGGTAATGACAAGTGATTTAAACACTCTCACTGCGTTTTTTTTATTAATGGAGGCTGGCAAAGACATAATCAGGTTTGATCCATGACCTGCTACATGAGCAGCAGTGCAATATCAAAGGCTCCATGAACCCAGCATATTAAAGAAGGGCAGCTGAGCTTGATGACGGAACATTATTTTGGATTCCAACCTGTTCAGCTCATTCCATGACATGAAGAAAATAGGCTTTCCTGTAATTATCCGATTAGTGAGTGAGTGAGAGTGTCTGACGAAAATTAGTGAGTGACTGATGAAAATTAGTGAGTGAGTGAAAAAGTGATTGAGTGACTGAGTAACAAAGATAAATTGGTGTATGGATGGACGGAGGAATGGATGAATGGATGGTTGGATGGATGGGGTGGTGTGCGGTTCC